TATCTATTTCTCGTAGCATTTTGAATAATTTATCCATATATCGCTGCCTAACATCAGTTAGACTTAAGCAATGTAGTAGGAAATGTTCAGATTCATTGCATAGCTTGCAATTTGGATGAATAGTATTTTTACTAAATTTTGCCCTAGTACTTTGGAGCATGTAGGTACCAGTTACTAGCTTACATTTGAATTCTGTCTTTTTTATGTCATGTTGGTTATTTCTAACACATTTCCAAATGTTATGTGGATTATTGACCGGATATTTTTGAAGAGATAAATGTTTAAGCGTTGATTTTGTGTTACATTCAGTGTTTAAATGTCGCCGCGAAAGGACTTGAGTCTCATTCATTTATAAAGATCGCATTGGCACACCCTGTTAATATTTATTGATCTCTTTAAAACTTGGCATATTTATTTTTGGAAAGCCTATGCATACCAAGATTGCTGTTTCTTGTTTTTTAAATGAATACATTTTCAAAATTGACAAGAAAGTTGACTTTTGGTGTGGGCATGGTTGGATTGCATGTCACTTCTGTTATTTTTTTTATTAGAAAAGGACATATTTAAAGAAAGAAACAGCTGTTACAGGAAAGATAATATCTTTGTCAACCAAATACAACTTTATTTTCATTCATTGGTGTAGTTCTTTGGGGTGTGCCGGGCTCTTGAAGTTGAAGGTTCACACGCCATCTTTGAATGTCGCCCGTTACCATGGTAACGATGTGGGGGGTTCTGAGACACCAGAATTTAAAAGTGTGGATGATATAAGGGATGATCAAAATTAGTTTTGGGTATGAAAGTTTCTAGACTAAAATTCAAAATAATTTCAAATTTCAATGATTTTTTATGAATAAATAGCCGATTTACTCTAGAACATGCAGCATTAACACACCTGCGCATATTTTTGAAAAAAGCGTGGTAAAATCTACATTTTCGCAATGTATAAGAAAATTCTGTCTGAGGATATGTATACCGATGATCCACCTTAACACGTACTACTAATCAGTCAATAGCATGAAATAGTCAGTCTACATGGGAGTTATTGCTCTTGAAGGATGATATTACATTTTTTGAAGTTTTTTTCTGGAAAAGATTTGAAATATTCTCATTGCATTGTGTCAATTGTATGGGTTGCTGTTTCGTATTGAGGTATGACCACATTTCCTTTCAAACGTATTGTGGGAGATAGTATGTCATATTTCACTAAAGTTTTGTACAAATGTCTTCTTATAATTAATCATTTGAATGCTCGTTGAACCTTATAGGTGCAGATAATCTTATTTTAAGAAGTATGTGCGCATGATCAAACCTGTTTTGATTTGCCTTCATAATAAAAAAAATTAAAAAAAGTTTTTAATGATAGTGTTTTAGTTTGATAAACATGACAGTCACAGGTAATTTCGAGAACATGCCTATAATAAACCTACGTACATGACCAAATATAATAGCATTTCTGATTAGTTGGAATACGTCGACAGGAATGGTGTTTGCACGTATTTTGGTATGAAAAGTCAGTAAGTTCCTTCATGAAGTATTTTTTTTAAATCCAAAAACAGATAAAATGATTCATCAAAATGTTGAACAGTACAATAAACCACACAATCCACCGCTATCCATCTCTTCTGATAAAAACATAGACGAACAAACAAAAACAGCAACAAGGAACACATAGTCCAGATAGCCTGACTTGGCACATCCTCAAACCTAAACCTTCCCCTATCTATACCATAAAAATGTAAAACACGCAACAAAAAACCTACACAGTCCATCTACAAACAGAATGACAATTCACTTTAACATGGAAATAAAAGACTGCACATAATTTAGAAAGCGGTTACGAAATGTGCTCGATACTCCAGGAAAGCTGTTGGTAGAATACTGATTCTCAATATGTGATACAACTCTCATAACAGCTAGGTTTTGTGGAGTCTGGTCACAAATTTAATTGAAATCGTCAGTGTTTTTGAGGGGCTAAAGTATTTTAAATCGACAGATCATCCGAGGAAAGACCAACTTAAACTGAATTAGTAAATATATCACGCATTTAACCCGTACTGTTGACTGATGAGAGAATTTATCGGATTTTTTAAAGTTTCAGTTCTACAATGTATGTCTCAAGTTAATATACTTTTTTTATAAATCCTAATAGTATTCTATATTATTGAGACGTTTAAAACCGAAATCAATGCGTATATGTGAAGTTAGTTTAGTTCATTTCTCTCTTAAAATGGTTTTGAAATATATACTTTTCAATATTTAAATGTTATAATTACTTAAATCACGATTGAAATCTTGATCATATGAAAGAAATTTAAAACGAAATCAGTTTGGATTTTTCCCTTTCATGTAAGTCGTTCAGCCATAGTAAATTTCACTAGGTCATGTAAGTTTACTTGTGACATATGTTTTATTGCAAATGTATATATTTGTTTCAGTTGAACGACTTTCTCTCTTTTGGTTTATGTTCAATTTCAGTAAGAACTCATATGGAAAATAACCAATTAAAACGTCTGAAAGTGACACACACCACTCTGGTACAACTTCTATTGGTCGACAGAGCCGAGCCCTCAGAACACATGCTTCGTATAGAATATTTTTCTAAATCCAGATTTAGCTTATTTAACATATATTGTTCAATGTATACACAGTGTGGGGATTAATCACTAAATGGTTGATTGTTTTCGTATTACTGAAAAGTAATATTTTTATAACTTCTTACGGTAAGTTAGAAAATGATAATCTTGTCCTCGTAATTGCCATCTGAAATCTGGGCCAATATGTTTTGGATACATAAACAAATTTTGACATAAGGTAAGCTAGTTCTCAACTTATTTCTCATCAATGTAACAGACCATATGTTCGCAATTTTAATAACTAAATAATCAGGAACGGAATGTTATATTTTTAAAAGTATTTCAGTACAATATTACAGTATTGTGTAATTCTATATTTACTTTTTATGAATACAAGGAGGTGTTGGTATCAATAAGCCAGCAAACCAACCACAGAAATAACCCCAAAAAATCTTGAGGTCAAAAGTCTTCAACAAAAGACAGGTGTCAATACATAATTTTTCATAGATAATATATTCCGTGATGGGTTTAAGAATATTGTTCTTTCGTGTATTAGTTTAAACATGTACACCTATACATTACCCCATATTACAGCCTGTTGTAAATTCTGAGATCAAGACAAATGTTCAGATTATTTAACGTTTGTCATTGTGGTTTTTTTATACATTTTAGTTCAATTTGTTGTTGACTAGCTGAGGGAACCTGCGTTCTCCTCCATGTCAAATCATGTGTTCTTTCTTTGGCTAATTATAGGACTAACGGACTGCCGTGACAATCTTTGACTGACTGTTGTATGAAGACAGATGATACGCATCATGATCATGAATGACTAATTGAGAAAGCAGGTACAGAAATGAAATTGTTTAAGTGTCAAAGATACACCGTGAGCCTCTGATAACTCGACTAGTTTTATTTCCAGCAGTTGAATTTGGCTTATGCAGGCGACATTTTAGGCATGGAACGAGCCATTTCTCATCTGTAAGAAACGTCTAAAATGTTTATCGTGAAAACATTATAACTATTCTCATGATTGGACCCATAAGATATGCATAGCTGTAATTAAAGTCATTGTAGTGGAACATGTTCTTTCAAGATCTATTTTTTTTATACTTTTCCACAATAAATCATACAAAGCGAAGACATTAAGACAAAGTTGATTATTTCGTGGTTTTCATTGACAACATTCTGATGCAATATCGCTGCTGATTTATATAATCCCGATTTAGACAAATCAAGTTTGAATCTAACATAATAGTGCAGCCACTGAAAAATAAATTATATGATGTACACAGTAAAAATGGTGTTTAGTTCCTAGACACAATTCTAAACACATCTGTGTGCACTTTTTTTATACGCTTATGTTGACAATGTGTTTAGGATTGTTTAAAGGATCGTGTCAAGCTTAGAAATTAGTGTTTTAGTCATAAACACTTTAATTATAAACACATTTAAAAGTGTTTATATTCAAGACATGTGTAATTGTGGTTAGATATTAAACATAATCATAAACACGTTTAGAACTAATATTTGGTACACGTGTTTATTTTCTGAGCACGATTTTTACAGTGAACACATTGAAAAAAACGGACAAACGCCAACGCCAAAGTAGTCATTTGTTTTTATTTCAAAAACTTATCAGTAGACAGGATGCACTTTTATGTATAAATGATTATACTGCAATATTTATAAAGTAACACCTGTCTCGTAGGATTCAAGAAATCAATGAAACTAAAACTTGTCCGATTATAGGTTTGTAATATTTTTTTAACATCCTGCTTGGTGAAAAGTAACTTCTGTTTTCAGACATTCACCTAGCTTTGCCTTTTGTACACTATATGTAATATGGAGGAGTGTAAACCATGAAGCTACTAGGGTCTTACTATTTTTCACATCTTATCATTATAAGAATATCCATAAATTATATCTATGTTACGTTTTGTATGTTCATGTAAAAGAAAAGTAATGGAGCTAAAATCAAAAATAAAAGTTTTCAATGTATATCTAAACAAATGAGGATATGTTGTACAAATTCTTGAGACATAATAACGAATAAATACAACAGTTACACTCTTATATAATCACTTTAAATGTCTCATGATGAAAGGAACGGAAAAATATTACCGCACTGTTTGGGTTTATTTTATGTTCATTTGTTCTGTTTAGAAATACTCACAAAACTGGACTGCAACGAGTATATAACAAATTTAAATCTGCATATAAGGAAAAGATTAAGAAGAAAACACGTTGATCCATAACAGTTTCAAAGAGTTATGTAATGAACTTTCATATCATGCCAATTTAAATACCTTTTGAACAACTATTTCTTTGAAAATGTAAAGAAAGGAATGCATTTTGCTTGATCACATCAAGATTGCTAATAGAGACATGACAACTTTGTTGTTTAAATTTTATTTATTTTTAATCCAGGCATTTGTACTATATCGTATTATGACGACTGTCATCCAGAAAACCGTCCAAAAATCATTGTCTTCTTTACTCGAGAGATGTCAAAGTTGTTCCGTCATCGTTTCTGCTAGACAATACAATAGTGATCACACTAAACATGAAGGCAACAAACCAAGAGTATTGATAACAGGTATGATCTATACTACTTAAACCAAGAGTATTGATTACAGGTATGATTTATACTGCTTAAACCAAGAGTACTGATTACAGGTATGATTTATACTGCTTAAACCAAGAGTATTGATTACAGGTATGATTTATACTGCTTAAACCAAGAGTACTGATTACAGGTATGATTTATACTATTAAACCAAGAGTATTGATTACCGGTATGATTTATACTGTTTAAACCAAGAGTATTGATTACAGGTATGATTTATACTGCTTAAACCTAGAGTAATGATTACAGGTATGATTTATACTGGTTAAACCAAGAGTACTGATTACAGGTATGATTTATACTGCGTAAACCAAGAGTACTGATTACAGGTATGATTTATACTGCATAAAACAAGAGTACTGATTACAGGTATGATTTATACTGCTTAAACCAAGAGTACTGATTACAGGTATGATTTATACTGCTTAAACCAAGAGTACTGATAACAGGTATGATTTATACTGCGTAAACCAAGAGTACTGATTACAGGTATGATTTATACTGCATAAACCAAGAGTACTGATTACAGGTATGATTTATACTGCTTAAACCAAGAGTACTGATTACAGGTATGATTTATACTGCGTAAACCAAGAGTACTGATTACAGGTATGATTTATACTGCTTAAACCAAGAGTACTGATAAGAGGTATGATTTTGCTCACACCAAACATGAAGGCAACACACCAAAAGTATTTATTACAGGTATGATTTATACTGCTTAACCAAGAGTATTGATACATGCAGGTATGATATATACTGTTTAAATCAAAATTCAATCATATGGTATTGGTGTTTCCGACTTGGGGACTATCTGCCATGATATGATATATCTGGATTTTTATTGCAGTATGTTTTATTGACTATATGTGCACATATCTCTCCGTTTAACTATGTTCTAGGCTTGATCTTTCGTGGATTGTGTAGCTTTTTTCTCGATATTTTGTTGTTGCTAGTAGCCTATGTTATGATTTTATTGGTGGATACTCATGTTAGGAGTCCATATTTGTAAGATTAATTATGTTCTTATAGATTTTCTTCAATCATTAATTACTTGCAATACCAAAATAATGAATCATTTCTATAAATTCATCATGAGCAATGAACCAATATACTTGTTGAGAATACCGCGGGAGTTAAGACGTCGCGTTTTACCTATTGTATCTAGGGTTGACGTCAATGTGGGACGTAGCCTTAGCAGCTCGAATATATATGAAGTAAACGTTAAACTGTATGGTTGTGTTCTTTCTGTATAACGATAGTTTGAGTTAGCCCCGACATTTATGGTGCCGTAACCAAAGGATTACATCGATGGAGAAGTTAAAGAATATTAGGACTGGAAATAGAAGTGCAGTGACGAGACTTTTCCGAAAATTCGAGGAGGCGAAGGAAAACACGGACTTCGACAGAGATGAACTACTTGCAACGTACGATAATCTTACGCAAAAGAAGAAATTGTTGGAAAAACTGAACGAACAGATATTGGAAGCAACGGATTCAGACAACGTTGAAAGTGAAATAGTAGATACAGATGAGTATTCAAATAATTTAGACACTAAACTTAGACATTTTCGTAATTTTATACAAATTGGTCAAAACCGTACACCAAGTTCCAATGTAACACAATCTTCATATCAAGTACTCAATGTAGAAAGCCCTCCTTTCCGCCCGGCAAATGTTGATAACTTTCAAAACGCAACACCATTCTATGCTTCATCCGCCGCTCAACCACAGACAAGCTACAATGGCTCTGATACAGGTCATATTGCTCCACAAAATATAGCTAGTGCTAGTAACCATCGTTTACCCAAGTTATCACTACCGAAGTTTAATGGCAACATTTTAGATTGGCAAACGTTTTGGGACTCGTACGAATCTGCTGTACATTTTAATCCTACTTTGACAAACATTGAGAAATTTAATTATCTGAAATCGCAACTTGAAAGCGAGGCATTAAATACGATAACTGGATTTGCGCTTACAAATGGTAATTACATGGAGGCTATAAATGTACTCAAGGAACGGTTCGGACAAAAATACAGAATTACGGAAGCCTACTTACAGGCACTTTTAGATATTGCCCAACCACGATACACCTTGTCAAGCTTAAGATTATTTTATGACCGATGTGAAGCCTACGTAAGAGGTTTAGATTCGCTCGGACAACCTGAGACGTCATATGGAACTTTACTGGTACCGATTATCATGAGAAAGTTACCAAGTGAAATCAGACAACACTTAGCAAGAGAACACGGACCGTCCAGTTGGAATTTGAAAGATCTGAGAAGGAGCATATTGAATGAAATTCAAATCATGGAGGCAGGACAAAATACAGGTACATATCTCGAGTCTTTAGACCGTCAGTTCGCAACTGCATCTACATGTACATTTCATACAGGAACAGAATCACCGCGAGAAAACACATCACACAACGCGAAGAGCCAACCCCGGAATATTACAGAAAGACCATGTGTTTTTTGTAAAGAGATACATGCACCAGCACACTGTACCAATGTTAGTAATCATAAAGCTCGTATGTCTATCGTAAAACGTGATGATTTATGCTTTAATTGTTTAGGTAATCATCATGCTAATGAGTGTCAATCGAAACGAACGTGTCGACACTGCAACCAGAGACATCATTCCAGCCTATGTAGTGCAAGTAGCAATGTTAACAGCGAAGGTTTAGCATTCATTACAAGCAATACCGATAAACAGATTCAATCTATACCCGTCAATCTTATAAATGACACTGAAAACGAGGAAGATACTAAAGTTTTGCATTCATCGACACAGATGCGTACAAATGTGCTATTGAAGACTGCTGTAGCTCCTGTATGGTCAGGTAATATATGTATGGATACGAATGTTTTATTTGATGAGGGTGCACAAAGATCTTTTTTAACTGATGATCTAGCGAAAAAATTGAATTTGAAAACTGAAGGAGTTGAAATTGTACATCTATCGGCATTTGGAAAGGATAACACCAGCACGAGAGAACTACGTAAATCCACCGTACACATTGAAACAGAGAATAGGCGTAAATTTCCAATTGAAGTTCTAATTGTACCTACTATAGCAGTTCCAATACATAATCATATGCGGTACGTAAACCGAAATATGAATTATCTCAAAGAATTAAGACTCGCTCATCCAGTTACTCAGGACGATTCTTTTGAGATATCGTTACTTATTGGTGCCGACTACTATTGGAACTTTATCGAAGACAAAGTAATAAGAGGAGACGGACCGATCGCGGTTAAGTCAAAGCTTGGATACTTACTATCAGGACCCTTACAACCAGGAAGGGTACATTCGTCTACGACATCCAGCATCTTGAACGTACTGGTTTCGAATAAATCAGAGGAATTTGACTTAAAAGAAATGATAAAGGAACAGACACGTCGCGGATTTATCGAGAGAGATGAGGAAGCAGGACCGACAGGGGAAATATTGAAAGATGGACTGAATGATACGTATCTAATGAACTGTTGTGACTTATTATGGACTGTTACGAAAATGTTTGATTTATTGACTTACTTTCAAAAACCTATAATATGATACTATTTCATTGAAAGAAGGAACAGGTGCACGGAAAATATAGACAAACTGTGATTTGTGTATACGAGATAGACTCATTGTGATTTAATTCGAAGATAACTAATCTGGAAGTTAATGACTGTGCTAAAGTTATTAAGTTAAAGTCAAGTTTAGATTTGATAGACAGTAATTTTCATTCATTTTTACTTTATTGTAATTTAATTTTAATATTTACCTTTAGCGGCCCGGAGAATGTTGAGAATACCGCGGGAGTTAAGACGTCGCGTTTTACCTATTGTATCTAGGGTTGACGTCAATGTGGGACGTAGCCTTAGCAGCTCGAATATATATGAAGTAAACGTTAAACTGTATGGTTGTGTTCTTTCTGTATAACGATAGTTTGAGTTAGCCCCGACAATACTTTCAAGCTAGAATATGATCCTTTGTTTTTCTATTAGAAAATTTATACATCTTGTTAGAGAATGGACTAATTCGATCGTTACTCTTAAACAATGATATATGTGTGTAAAAATTATAAACTACATGCTAACATACAAAATGAACATATACATGTTTATAATTCTTTAATGCTGTTTTATTTTAGGAAGTCTGGGTCAACTTGGAACAGGGTTAGCAAGTGTGATGAGGTATGTTATCATAAAGGACAACAACTGTCAATCCAATCGTACTAAATCAAACACAATTTGAACTTCATTTTAAATATAGGCTGAAAGAGAGCTTACTTCAAAGCAGATAGAATAATGGTGGTTTGCTAAGTGTTTGTGGCAATTTTGGGTAACAATACATGTGGACCTTCAACGCTTAAAGTAACTACTTTTAAATCATACAAATAGAATGAAATATTATGTGTATCCTTTTTTGCAGTTGTAAGTCATTAGAAGTTTTTAAAACTAAAATTATTTTTCTTCCAGAAAGCGTTATGGAGTTCAAAATGTTTTTATGTCAGATATCATAAAAGCACCGCCAAATGTTGCCGCAAGTGGTAAGTAAATTAAAAAAAAAAACTCAAATACTATAAAATAGGCACTATTCTTAATATATAAAACAATTATACAAATCAGATTTCTATGATCTTTTAAGATATAAGGCAATTCTGAATTTCGGCATATATACTAGTAGCATAATAACATGTTATATTATATATATATATATTATTGCAGCATTAGTATTTCACTGATTCAAACAGCAAAAACATGTCATCTGTGCTTCTGCTTTTAAACTTTCATAACGGACTTTTGAATCATATAATACGAAACACAACAACTGTGTTAGTAAATAAGTAAGCGTAATACACAGTTCACTTTAAAAGTACTTACTTATATTTAATGTTGACAGGTAGAGAAATGACTATGACATGTCTACACGTAAAATTTTAGAAAATCATATGAACTTTCTGCACTGTATATTGTAATAGTCAATATAGTCGACGTAAAACGGAAAAAACAATTATCTGGTATACAGGAATTTATATTAAAAAAACTATCCTTTGGGGCTTGTTTCTTGCAATAAAGTATGGGATTATAAGCCCAAGACCCCACAACTTTATAAATATGTACACGTATCTTTAGCAATGTACGAATACCTCACGTTTCAGGGCATAGTCATAAAATTTTTGAGTGCAGTTATCGTACTCTGATTCAGAAATCAACCAATCAAAACATTGGCTTTGATGTTTCGAGCGCAATTTTTTACTCCAAGTACTGAGAGTACTGAGTATGACTAAAATGCCAGGTAATTTATGCGAGTTTAATGTACAAATATCAGCAGTGAATTTACATTTATTTATTTCCAGGTCCATACGTGTTCGCTGACATCTTAGATTTCAAGCGTCTTCAGGAACTTATAGTTACCCACAGTATAGATTGGATAGTGCATTTCAGTGCTTTACTAAGTGCTGTAGGAGAAAACAACGTCCCTCTGGCAATGCGTGTCAATATTGAGGGTCTACACAATGTTTTGGAATTATCAAAACAATACAAGTTAAAGTTGTTTGTTCCTAGTACGATCGGTAGGTACATATTATTTCGCAATACATAAGTAAAGCAGAAGTGTCACGTCGAGACACTTTTTTTGTTTTGTATCTTCACTTCACAACATTGTTAAATAAATCATGTAAAATATGATAAACATGCAGTGTATGAAATATAAATTATAACATTTTAAATGTGTTGCAAGCAAAACGAAAATTTCATTTACTATAAAGAATTAAAATCAAAAGACAACAGGTAGTTAACTAGAAGCTTATTTCTATAATGAATTTACAATCAATGATGTGATTAATGAATAGTTCATACAAATATTGTACATAGACAAATGTGCTTTATTCAGCAACAACTACTCATAATCACTTGCCTCTGTACAACAACAAATAGCGGATGCCCAAAATATCTTTCCAAATGTACATATTTATTTTATTATACATAAGGTGCTTTTGGACCAGATTCTCCTAGGAATCCGACCCCCGATCTGACTATACAGAGACCAAGAACAATCTACGGTGTATCCAAGGTACACGCTGAGCTGATGGGAGAGGTAGGTTGTTTACGTCCGTTCATCAATTTTGATTTCAAAAAGCAACAACTGTTTGCAACATCTATATTAAACGACTCTCACTAAATTTAAACGAATAGTTTTCGCTTTAATAAATTAATGAATGTTTAAAAGCAATGATCCAACAGAAATTTGTAGTAAGATTTGAGAATTGATTGAGATTATTATCACCATAGAAATAACACACGTGTTAAACTCAAAGGAACTAACAAATCAGTTTCCATTTTCACTGGAAGTTTTTGCGAAAACGTTGGAACGATTAAGAATTTGTTACAATACATTACCGAAACATTAATAGTTTTAACCTTCAAACAGTAGGCCCAATATATGATAAATAGCTGGTTTTCAACCTCCGGCTTCTTATTAGAATAGTATAACTATGAAAACAAAATCCAGAAAAAGAGAACTTGTCTTTGGTAAGTGAATTTATTCAGTTTGAACATTAAAGACAAAAATATTTATCAATATAGGTTAGCCATTTAAATATTACATCGGATATGATTTATTATTTGTAGTACTATTTCCACCGATTTGGTATGGACTTCAGAAGTCTCAGATTCCCTGGTGTTATATCTGCAGATACCAATCCAGGTGGTGGAACTACAGGTAAATCTTCCTTCAAAACTCTATTACATACTTTCTAGATTTTATTGTATATACAATACAATACAATACAATATTTTATTTTCCAAATTAAAGGACCCATTAAGAGCATAACATTAATAACAACATATATAAGAATTTATCAATAATTCAATTTTTGATAAGCAGTATAATTTTTTTGGGGGTAAAAAGGACACTGATTTTATATTCAAATTTTAATACAAAAGTTGAAACTCGAATACAGACTCGTGAAAGATTTAGGGATCGATGGTAGATTGAATTCTTGACAGTTTTGGCAACTATAATTTTTAACAAAGATTGTCAAAATGAGAAAGATCATTAACAATAAATTCTTTAAATATAAATTAAATGGCATGACCATTTACGGACTATCAATTTAAATTTAAATCTTTTGCATTATTGTCCTTCCTAGATTTTAAAGGGGTTCATGTTCACCTATTGGATATAAATTCTCATACGCTAAAACGTATATCCAAATTGCAAAAAGTAATAGAAAAACAATAACATTGCATGGGCTCGTTATAATGTATCAGCATTTCGTGTCTATTTTAGACGAGACGCCATCTTATTACCATCCAGATGACCTCCAATGACTGCCACCAGTCATTTAACCCAGATAAAAACATAAATATAAATACAAATAGACAGACAAGCACGTGCAATAAGATTTTTCTAGGTCTGTTTGATTTCATGTTATAGGTTAAAAATATATGTAAATCATCGTTTTACCTGTATATGAATGATTTTATGTAGGCCGGATCAGTCAAAGAAATGGTTATTCCCGATGTCTCCCTTGTTTGACTTTTCAATATTGACATTCTTTTCTTTTTAAATGAAAAGACGCTGACTGGCCACCACGTGCTGAACATGCACAACCCTTTCCACTAAAGATCAAATTTAAGGTTGCATGAATACGGATTCAACTGAGTTGAGTTATTGACTTGCAAGCCAATAATTCATCAGTGCTGGGTTTTTTTTTTTTTGCTTATTTTGACGAAATTGAATCAAACTGACCACTAAGAGCGAAATGTTATTTCTATATTCCGTTTTTATATATGTTTGAAATTTGAAACAAAAAAAAAATAACATTTTATTTTTTTTTGTCTATATTGTAGCTAATGCCCCTTTAAATTATCCTGACAGACATTATGTCAAAGAACTGGTTCTTGTTTTCCTTTCAGATTATGCAGTACATATATTTCATGATGCTTTACAAACTGGAGATTTCACCAGTTTCTTGAGACGTGACACCCGTCTTCCTATGATGTATATTGACGATTGCCTTCGTTCAGTCGTTCAGTTCATGGAAATACCAAGTAATCAACTCAAACAACGAACTTATAATGTAACAGCGATGAGCTTTACCCCAGAAGAATTGGTAGCCGAGGTTAGGAAACATGTTCCTCACCTCAAGGCTAATTATGAACCAGATAGCAGACAAAAAATAGGTGAGTGATCTCCCTTACGTATATATTGTACATGTTTCTACTTTTAATAGCATCGTTATAGTAAAATAGATCGATTGATTGATTGATTGATTGATTGATTAATTGATGTCTGCAGGTGGGTTCTGCAAGGTAGGTCGACAAATTTTTACTGGACTGGAAAGTAAGGGTTTGTTTCATAAGGGCAGACATTTTGCCTTACAACAGGTCACATTCAGATCATTTAGACTTGTTACAAGGGTTTCTAAACGTGCAGATTGCATTCACTATACACGACGTACCGACGTACAGTGGACGTGGCTGCGTATTTGTACACCCCGTACAGACAAACGGACTCTCCTCGAGTGCTGTCAAGTCTCTCGCAATTTTTTGGCGGCATTTTCCTTTGATCTATTGTTTTTTCTCTTTGATCATTACAATTTTTGCAAAATCTCACGCATTTGCTTCATAAAAACTAGACAGCCCGGCTCCTCCCTAATAGGTGTTTTACTGCCGGAATAAAGGAATAAAAAAACAAATGAACATTATAACTGTATTTAGATTAATAATTGATTGTAAATGTTTTTACCTTCTGCTTTAAAACATATTCAGCACGGGAACAATTGTGCTTCATAAAGCAGCGATAGATTCGCAACAGCTAATGCAACCCAATAATTGAACGAGCATCTCATCATTTTTCATCCAAAAATGAAAATGACTGATAATTTATATTTTCAGCCGACACATGGCCAGAAGTGTTTGACGACTCAAATGCACGTGCTGACTGGGGTTGGAAGCATGAATATGATATCAAAGGTCTCTGCGATATAATGTTTGAAAAATTACGACCAGTCTACGACACGGAAAGCAATCCAGACAACGCTAGCAGTAAAGACGGAAAACAAAAACGTACAGCAGCATAATGTCTGAATAATTTAAACCATATCTTAGACTACGAAATGTGCAATTTACCGGTAATTAAATGGATCTAGAACGCATGAACATGAGAATTGGTCGTTCTACTATATATATAAATTTTACTGCTAAAATGCATTACATTTCTGTACATTATTGTTTGTTATTTGTATATTTAAGGAATTGTTATTTATTATAAAATGTGAGAAAAAAACTTAAACGGCCCGGTTTTGGTTGTGATTTTAGTCCACAATCGTTTATTATTTTATTTGATAGGTCTGATAGTACGAGAACACGTATTGTATACTGAACCGTCTCGATAGTGATCCCTGCTTATGTATTTTTGTTCTAAATTTTTTCTGGAGCACAACATTAGATCTAAACATCTCCCTTTTGTATGTGATCTTGAATTTGACCTTGATAGGCCGTCATGAAAAAATGATTCCGAAACGCTGTCTACTAGGACAGTTATTTGTTTGTACTTTTAAAGCGTTAGTTCATAAATGCTTAAAGTTACATGACTACAAAAGTCATAATATATCATCTTGTTTATCAAAATAATGCACTTCATATATTCTACCAAAATCATGTTTGGTCAATAATTCAGATTTATATTGAAAAAATAGCATGCATTCCCCCAGAATAGTATACAAACACAGAGTAATCAATACAGTTTCATGTTTGCAGTGTTTGGATCAGAGAACATTATGTTAAATTCTGACAAAGAGTAAATCCAGTAATATGGCTATGATTTTTAGATATTTTAGCTAATTGTGAGCATGGATATTCAAACGAATAGGTAGTCTTTCCAACCCCCAAAAAGTTATCGAAATTGCATCTTTATTCATAATTCAATTTGGTCCTGGATGTCTTTCAATGATTTTTTCCCATAGATTGGGATTATACTTCTCAGGCTTTAAAATACATTTGCTTTTTGTGATCGCATCAGTTATTTTGAAGAAAATTGTGTAATTGTTTATGGTAGTTTTACATACATAAAAAGGTCAAAGAGATTTCTTATTTCTTAAATACCTTCAGTAAAATACTTCTTGCATCAAACCCCCAAGTTTAACTTTTCACCAGTTGTTATTTTACTTTTACACCTCTTTTAATTTCCAAAACCTATAACTTTAGCTGTTCATATAATTTATCCAGGATTTACTTATATTCATGTCAGGGGTTTCCTTATATTCATGTCAGGAGTTTACTTATATTCATGTCAGGAATTATAAGTTGTGTATGTGCATGAAATATTGTAAACATATTGTTTACGGGAGAAGAATTCATAAGTTGGTAAAAACTTGTGTCTGATCCTATTTAAATCATTGATGAACTAAAATATCATAAACCTAGAGGTCAATGATTTTTTTTATGGATATCTCTATTTTGATATAAATATTGGAAACATTTTGCAGTACATGTACGTTTTACATGTGTTCAAACATTTTTACATAAAAAGATTACTGGTCCTAATAAAGGACTTTTGATGTTATACAAGTTGTTATTTATTTATGTAGTTTTTATCTTCTGAATTTCATGATAGATGCAAAAATATAAACATGTTCATTGTTACAGTTCTATAAATAGCATTTAGTATTAAAATTTAAAATAGAATAAAACATTCATTGGTACTTTGTAGCACAATTTTAACCGTTTTAGTTCAATCAAAATTGAAACCTTGATTCAGAAAATTGATATGTTGTTGACTTATTACGAGACAATCGCAAATTATTTCTATTCCTTACTGTCCATACTATAGGTGGAAATTATGGAAAAGAGGATGCTTTTCCTTTTTTGTCTGTCTTTGTGTTGGTTATAATTTGTGTACTGAAAAACTAGCTCAACCCCGTTATATTGTAATGCATCTGTCCAAAGCCAGAGATCCCGGCAGTTGTTGTCAATCTATTCCTAAGAAGAATGAAAAGAGGCTAGCATTATCCTTTAATTTCATATTTCCGCTATCTAGATGATGTCCTCTCACTAAATAATTCAAAGTTTGGTGACTATGTTGAACGTATCTACCATAGAACTTGAAATAAAGGATACAACAGATACAGTTAGTATAAAAAAGAAGTTGTGATACGATTGCCAAGGTCTGCCTCATATCTTGACTTACATCTAGAAATTGACAATGAAGGTCGATTGAGAAAAAAACTTTACGACAAAAGAGATGACTTCAGCTTCCCAATTGTGAACTTTCCATTTCTGTGTAGCACTATTCCAGTAGTGTCGGCATATGAAATATATATCTCCCAGTTGATCCGATTTTCCAGAGCTTGCATTTCCTATCACAATTTTCTTGATAGAGGGTCGCTGCTTATAAGGAAGCTATTGAACCAAGAGTTCCAAATTTTTGTTTTTTTTGTCTTTGTCATTGTCAGTTTGTTTTCGATTTATGAGTTTGAATATCCCTTTGGTATCTTTTGCCTCTCTTTTACTGATTTTAACTCTTCCTGTTGCATTCCAGTTTAACATCTGACCAATTGTATTTTGAAACATTGATTCATTAAAAATGGAAGAAAAAAATGCATATTGTTCACATCTTTTAATTTCATTAATTACTTACAATCCTTAAATAGTTTCAATAAACACCGACGTTAGTATCTCAACTGCTGAGTTGCCTCAGTTAAAATGAAACGCTTTTTACGACATCATATGACCCGATATCAGATTTTTTTTGTCATTTTCAAATATATCATTACAATTCCGTATCAAAAGTCGAATTGATTGCAGATGATACTCTCGATACCATAGTTAACTAAATGAATTTCTATTGAATTCGATCTGGAAGTAATTAAAATTATAGTCTACATTCCTTTCATGATTCGATTAAGAAGTTTACTCAAAATTAATATTGTTATTTTTATTAACGAGTGTATATTGTTGTCTTGGTTTGTCTCTAAGTAATCGGTTTACGAGAATAGAACCTCAGTAAACTACTGTCGCCTTAAAACAATATATTTTTTTACAAACCTTGTATTACCTTACTGTATTACTAGTACTTCCACGATCGCAGAAAAAGGGAAATTTGCAATTTTGGAATAGAAAAAATTCAGCTTAACTAATCGTTGTGTGTTCCGTTTGTTTTCTTAAAGATAGGAATAAGTCTTACCATGAAGTAGACTTATTGTTATCTTTCGTGTGTTTACCTATTATGTCTGTTTTGTTCACGCATCGTTGTAAATATAACGGAATTTGATGCGACTGTCAAACAAGTGAGAGGTTAAGCGCTATAAAACCAGGTTCAATCCACAATTTTCTACATTTGAAAATGCCTGTACCAAGTCAGGATTATGAAAGTTGTTGTCCATTCGTTTGATGTGTTTTATCATTTAATTTTGCCATTTGATTAGGGACTTTCCGTTTTGAATTTTCCTCGTAGTTCAGTATTTTTGTGATTTTACTTTTTACATTCTAGCTGAATGGGTAACTGATATATAGATGGTCTCTAATCTTATTATTTAGACATAGAACACGTCCTTATGACGATGAAGTTGAAGGACTGATCTACTCCCTTAATTATTTCATGGTTTGCTTCACACAGTCGTTCAAATGGTGTCTGTTTTGATAGTGTTGTGGGTACGAGATGCTGACTTTTTATATTTCTAACTTGGATTCTAACAAGTTTCACGGGATGTGAAAAGTATTTATGAATAAATACAAATCTAATATACCTATAGAAACCAATTTGAAACAAGCTTTGCACATAAAATTAAAGAATATTTTGTTAGGTCTCACACTACCACATTGAGTTTCAGATGTTATTTTCATTTACAAGTACTGGGTCGACATCGCTGCTGGTTGACTGTTAGTCCCAAAGGGTATCATTACATTAGGCTAGTAATCAGTGCTTTGTCACTAACAAGATTAATATCATGCGTTTCTTAAATATACCGATGATAAATTCAGAAAAAAGTAAAATAACAAAAATACCAAACTCCAAGGAAAACACAAAATTGTCAAATGGCAACATCAAAAGCTCAAACATATCAAACAAATGGAATACAACTGTTAGATTTCTGACTTGGTACAGGCATTTCCTTATGTAGAAAATAATGGATTAAGCCTGGTTTTATAGATAGCTAAACCTCTCACTTGTATGACAGCCGCATAGAAATTATTTAGACATTAATTTTTAAACTGCTTCAGGCAAAGCTGCCATAAGATTGTTTTGGGAATTCCACTTAGGTTTCTTTAGGTTAAATTGCCCCATAGGTATTCACAAATCCTTAGTTGTCAAGTTGTTTAGGTATTGGGGGTTTTGATGACGGCAAATCTAGAAATAAAACATACCAATTTATAAAGGTTTTTTTAAACTCTGTTTTAGTTTAAAACTGAACCAAGTGTATGTTTAAATTAGACTTGTTTCGATAAAAAACGCTGTATATCCACATTTCATTAATTTTTCGGTCACCATCATGAATTGGTTGGTTTTAACTTTATCTCACTTTCGAAAAAGGGAAGAAGATAGCATGGAGGCAAACGGTGACTTTTAAACTATGTTAAAGATCCCGATGATAACTAAGGCCAATTTGACTTAATATTTTTTTTCTTCATGTTCCTGGTTTTAACACGTGACTCCAGAATCGTGTGACTGGTGTTGCATGCATAGCAAAATATACTTACACTGCGTATGTCCTAAAGTTGATTACCATGCCCTCCAAGTAAATATGTTTTAATGTGGTCGCGTCACGCCTGATTATACATGAAACATGATGAAATTGATTCATGTGATTGGCTTTTCTGCTTCAATAAACGGCTGCTGTCTCTAATGTATACCTGGACGCTTATTAACATCGTTCCTTTATCTGTATACCAAAAACAAAAGCATAAAGCATGTTTTAAAGTTCTCGTAATATAAATGAGGAACCCATTTCCCAAACTTGATGAAATATGCTTCTAAGCCAAACGGTACAGAGACACAGTGCAGTTCCAAGACCTAATGAGCAAACATTCCATATAGCATTGTGTGATACGACTCTCCCACTCCACAAAATAGGAAACAACATTTGGTGATAGAGATAGAACTATAAATCATCGGAACCAATTTCATTCTAGGCAAGTTTTCAAAATTCCAAAAATCTTTACTGCAATTTCCAGGATCATATAATCATATAAACTCAACATAGATATGTGCACTTAGCGTTCCTGGTGAAGGTAAACCCAGAAAGGTGCTTCGAACGCACGGAAATTATAAAATGTTATTTTCATTTACTAGCAGTGGGTCGATACCACTGCTGCTGGACTGTTTTTCTAACATCCCTGTTGATAAATGTAAAAATGCAAAATATAAATAAAAAGCTATGTACATATTGTTTTTCATGCAGATACAAATTTATCCACTTTGATGCAAACTGTTACAAAATTTAATATTTGGGATATTGTAACTTATTTGTTTTTACATCAATTCATTTTTAAGAAATACATTTCTATTTATAGGATAGATGTGTCAACTATTATGCATTAAAAGTTGGTACGGTATACCATCGTTTCCTACTAGGATTTCCTTTGATAGAGGGTTGTTTATTACAATAACAGTAATAGTATCAGTTTTACTGCAACAGATGCAAATTTAGACAATTAATGTCTCTTCAGTGATGCTCGAGGTCAACGTATTAAAAAATCCAAAATTTGTTCAAACACTGAATAGCTAATAAAACCAAAAAAGTACCAAAAGTAAAGCCAAATCCGGACAAGAAAGAATCAGAGGCGGATACTTTCCTTAGTTTAAAATGATTCCCATAATTTTCTGAATGAAAGACTATTTAAACAACTTACCTACTCATATTGATGACCATTGTTCAAGACTGAGTTTTTTTATGCAACCAGTTTGTAAACCAACTGGGACTTGATGCAAAATAATTTTGGTTGAAAAACTTGAGAAAATACTAAATTTCTTTTTCAAGAATTTATTTCAGATATCAATATAATGAATTAAAATGCAATGCTGGTATAGTGTGTTTACTTAAAAAAACAACTTTGCAAATAATTACGTAAAAAATGATAACATGCATGGCCATAAATACTACACAATACAAACCACATTATCATGCAGCACTTCACTCTTCTAAACAAAAAATAGACATATAAACAAAAAGAAACAACAACAAATAATTCATGGTCAAAGCAGAATGGTACACAATGTTTTATAGGAAATGGTATTTGTCATTAAGATCTTTCGATGTTTTATCAAAGCCAAATTTTTGTATGTTCAGGATGGATACATTTATAATACAATAACTGGACAATAATCTGAATGACCATAAATGAAGGTATTGAACCGATTACGGCGAGGTAAACCCAATTTTTTTTATGGTGTGTAAAGTATGCCCACAGTATGATGATGTTTTCAGCAAATGTTATAAAATAATAAAACATGGCTCTGTATCGTGTTTTACCTTTTTGTACATTTTGGAAACAAAATATCAATACATATCCGATTACAATATAATGTACAACTTTATCTCTCATTTTTTCATACATTTCCTGCTTCTGACACCCAACCCAAAGTGACATTAAAATCCAATGAATACCTGTTGCTACAAGCATGTGGTAGCCAAACTGAGCTGCAAATAGTGATAATACAAGTATTCTTGGTGCAACTTCACAAGCTCTCCAGATATAGTAGAAAATCACTCCTAAGAAGGATAATCTCTTTGCCTTTTTATTATATGATAATCTGAGTGCCTTTTGATAGGACACCAACGACCAGGATACTCCAATCCAAGATCCAAACATTGCTGCAGGTCGGACAATTTCTACAAGATAAAACAAAATCATGCTTAAAACATTTTATCTGCCTTGATGTGCATTGAAAGTTGTTCGTTTTCTAGATCTTGATATTTCATTTTTTACAACGGAATGTCTATGCAAATATATACGACAAAAGAGACGTTTTTACGTTCCCAATTTTCCCTTTTTTTAAACGGTTCTTTTCTTTTGGCTCATTCTTATGGTGTGCATGTTTTCCAACTAGTTCGCTATGCCCATGTATCTAGTGAGACGTTTTACATGAAGGTAATTTTTATACTGTTCAATGATTCAGCCCGGGATTTCGTTATCATAAATTACTTTAAACTTTTACTAAATTCTTTTATAGACACAAAGAATTGGTTTGGAAGTTTGGCAATAATTTTTATTTCAAACGGGATATTCCATCCTAATTTTTACTCTGATATTGTTTATAAAGCCCATTATTTTAGATCCTTGTAAACTCATTTATCCTTTATGGCCTACTATGCAATGTATAGATAATGAATATCATTTTATTATGGTTGGCCAGCCCATAGACAGTATAGACTTAAATACTTCTCAAGATATCACCATACATGGCCAAATATTAACAAACTGTATTTATTACTACAAGTTCAAACAAAAACAGTTATTTACAATTTGATGTGTTTTTTGCGTGAAAGTTGGAAACTTAGAACTTTCATATTAACGTAGTTATATATATATATATATATATTGTCATTTTTTATTAACAAAGTGTTCATAATGTTTATTATGTTCTCTGCTGTTTTATATAACTATATATTATTATATTATTATACATTTCATGTTGGTTACACATGATTATGTTGTAATTTCAATGTGCTATAGCATAATTGTGCTTATTGCAATAAACGTCTTTATCTTATCTTATCTTATGTTTAAGTAAACTTATTGTTAAATGTACCATACGAATATTTGGACAATACGCGTGTAGTCATGACCATATGCGTATACTCATATGGTTCGACCATATTTTTCGTTTTCCACGGTGTTACGATTATTATTTTTTTTTTTTTAATTCTTCTAATTTCTACTTATTTTTTACATTAAAATATATTGATTGATTGGTGATTGCTTTACGCCGCATCAGCACAAAGCAATCACCAATCAATCGATCTATTGAAATAGAGGGATAGCATGTTTGAACTACTGTTATGGTAAGACCGTATGAATAGGAGCAAGAACACATTTGATAGCTAAAAATTAACTGATTGTCGTAGGTTGCTGTCTGTCAGATTTGTTTTTGGTTCATTGTCTTGTCATTAACCATGACGTTATTTTCCCCGTGAGAATTGTTTTACATTTTGTCATGTCTGGCCTTTAATTGCTGATATGTTGTATCAGTTTTGGACATTGTTGAAGGCTGTCCAGTGGCCTATTATTTGTTAAACCACGTCATTTGAAATTTAGTGAATAGTTGTCTCAATGACAATCAAGTCTCCTTTTTTTAATGTACGGTAAAAGTCATTATTGAGTAAGGTTAAAAATCAACTCTTCCTCTGATTTTATAATTTCTGTTTGCAAAGCTTTGTCCATCACCCATACCTAAAAAGACAATGTCATCGCGAGTTCTTCTATTTAGATTTAATTGGGTATTTAACAGAACCACTATAGAAAACATGTTTTTTCTTTCACACATTGCTTGTTGTTACAAACCATAAACATTTTTTAACAAATATCAAAATATATACGATTATAGATTGTCCTCAGGCACTGGTCGCTGTATTATAAAGGTAGAAATTTTTTTCAGAAACAATTGCATTTAAGCCATAAGAACGTGATTTTTCGTTTATTTTAACGAATCCCTTGGAGTTATAAGGGTGCAAAAAAATATCTTACGCATCATTGGTCCATCATTATTTGTTTCTGTCATTATTATATATATCTGTAAAACTAGCTGTGGAGCAGATTCTAGGAACGCTTCAATCATCCTCAACATGGCAGCATCTGCATTTTCACATAATACCATTTTATAGAAATAACGTCTTTTACTTTCAGATAATGATCCTGATTTGCTTTTAAATCCATAATGAATATATTCCACATTTCTATAATAAAAAATGCTTAATAATATCTATAAAAAATGTGAAAACAATATGCTTTTGGTAAATTATAGTTAAGGTAAACAAATAATGATAAATAACAACGAGAACGATAAGAATGAAAACTCATTTTTAGACTTAACTTTGCCACCAGTCTACACAAAGAAGGCGAAACGAACGAACAAAGTATAACAAAAAAAACACACAAATCTTGAACAGCATACCTGACAACAGGTCCAAGCATAAATGGTAAGGATAACACTATTCTTAAAAACCATACCAGTTTCTTTGTTGGCTTTTCGTTTTTCTTTTCTTCGATATAGTCATTATAATACCAGGATGTATTGATGGCATTCAATACAAGATGAGGAAAGAGGATCAATGATATAGTAAATACAAACGGAATCCATCTTTGAAACCGATAATATTCTTCAGCAAGAATCACGTCTGAAATCACATCAAATAGGAAGAAGACTGTTGACAAAACTGCGGCAAGCAAGTCTATGCCACGAAACGGAAAGGGATATTTCTCAGAACTGGAGTAGCTAACAGCACAATTATTCCAACAGCAGCTTTTCAGTGTGTCTTTATTGGTATCTGTGTCTAACGTCGAATCCTTTTCATCTATTTCACCAACTATAAGGGGACTGTCAATAACTTCTGGTTTAGGTTGTCTATAATGTGTTCCATCAACTTCGTCCTCTTGTCCCTCTGCATTATCTTCTTTTTCATCACTGACTTCATACTTCACTCTTCTATCATATGGAAACTTTCTGCTTACCATTTTGTCATTACACTTAATTTCTAACTTTTTTTTTAAAGATTATCATCATATTGACCGGCATCTTATTGTCCAAGAATAAGAAATAATCATGGAATCCTGATTGGAAGAATGAAGGTCACAAAATTAATGTTTACTTGATGGAGTCAAATCTTTCTTTTGTTTATTCGTATCAGTTCATTTAAACATCCTGATTAAAATATAAATAGACCGGTGTATTGTTTTGGTATTTTAAACAATTTTGATTAAAAGTTACAGTTTTGTTGTCTATAATTTGCAAGTAATGCTGCGTAATCATAATATTTAGACATTAATATCATGTTAAGGTTAAAAGACACATTCCCTTCAAAATGATGAAAAAAAGGTTTATCTTAAAAAATCCAATCGTGGTACATATGTCTGTATAATAAATTTACCTAAAACGATTACGCTAGTATAACCCAATTCTGGATTTCCTGTCGGGTTAAATCATATCTAAAATTGACATTTATCTCTGATCATGAGCATTAAATTACATGAATGGTGCCAATTTTACCTCACCAAATATTATTGTTATCGAGATAAAATCAAAAAAGACCCTATACTCGTTTAAAATGACATCATGCCTTACTTCACACAAGATTGAAACAAAATAATAAGGGTAATAACAATTTAATAAGCACCTTAATTTCTACCACGTGCACAATTTTATTAAACACAAAAATGCAATAAAAGCCATTCTGACTTTTACAAGAATTAGGAAAGTGGTGTCCTTGTTCTCACTCCGAGTGCTCTAAAAGTAATCGTCTAATGATATTGCTGGAAATTATGCAACAAGATTTTTTATGTATTTGAACCCATTTAAGGAATCCCATCTACAATAGAAAAAAAAACACACACACATACAAAAAATACACCTTAAAATACAAAAGTACACAAAATTAAACGGAGTCACTCGTTGAACTGTTGAAAAAACTTACTATGAAAATTAGATGTAATTTGCTCCTACTTTTGTACAAATGCAGTTAAATCATTTTTTAGTCTCGTTTTGAAAAAAAAAATGATATGTTCATTTCATGCGCTAACCATTTGAAAAGTTTGGTCCCTGGTATGTTCTCTCCGTTTTCAAATACCTACACGATAAACAAAATGGTTTCCTGCGTCTAGTCCTATATGAATTACAGGAGATGAGCGATATACTTCAATGAAACAGTAACCCAAAGACCGAAATAGTCATAGACAACTAGACATATACGGCAACATTTAGTCTTTAACAACAGATTAGTACTTATTCAATATGAAAATAACACTTTCAAAAACTGGTATTTTTGTAAAGTTTTTACGGATTTACCTTCATTAGGAAAGCAAGCAATAACCCAAAATTTTAAAGACAATGTATAAAAACTTTTGAATGAATATAAATGCAATGCGAACCTGAGCATATTAATCACAACCATCCAAGATCAACTTTGCTTGAAGGAATTGAAAACCCTAGAATCTTATTTGTTTTGAGTTCATTTCACGTGGTTCATCTACAGAATTTCTGCAATAAATTTGTGTGAACTTGTAATTCATAGTTTGGTAAGTGAAATCTGCTAACCCTGTCTGAGCACCTGAGGTCATCCCGTTATTTGGTGGGGTTTGTATGTTGCTCATTGTTTTTTTTTTGTGTGTACATTTATTTAAGTCTTTTCGTCGTTTCTTTTTGCCATGGTATTGTCTGTTTTAAATCGACTGATGATTTTTTTATCCCAACCTTGGAATGTTCTGCTTCTTTAGATGTGTGTTTTTTTTACCTCTGAGATATTCTTTACAAAAAAACTAAATTGAACAAGACCGTTACCATGGTTACTTCATTAACAAATCTTTTCCCGGCCTCGTTTAACATTAGTATTATATAATTAAGTTGTTAATGTTGTGTTTTGTAAATTGTTGTTTGTCTTTTGGTCTTTTTTTGCCATGGCATTGGCAGTTTATTTACGACTTTAATTTCTATCCATTATTTCCATAGTATTGTACAATAAAGAAAACCCTATTTTGCAGCGAAAGAGAAAGAATTGAGAAAATAATAAATAAATAATAAAAGCAAAAACAAAAAATATAAATACAGAAGTTTGGATTTTTAGCAACATTATATATATATTCACATCTGAAATGTGTCTTAAAACACTTGGAAAGGATGGTTTTCTGTTGTAAAAATTCATACAAGCATACACAATTATTAAAGAGAGGGACGAAAGATACCAGAGGGACAGTCAAACTCACAGATCGAAAACAAACTGACAACGCCATGGCCAAAAATGAAAAGACAAACAGACAAATAATAGTACAGATGACACAACATAAAAAACTAAAGACTAAGCAACACGAACCCCACCAAAAACTAGGGGTGATCTCAGGTGCTCCGGAAGGGTAAGCAGATCCTGCTCCACATGTGGCACCAAACGTGTTGCTTATGTTATTAAAAATCCGGTAAATAGTCTAATTCGGTAAGTCACATTCGTGAAAAGGGAAGGGTATTGTAGTTACGACATAAGGAACATATCCGATATCATCTGTGAAACGGTTATTCCATAACAGTCAACCAACTCGTGATGGCGTCCGTAAAATTTACGAAGGGATGATTTCAACTTCACCATTTGGAATAGCTTCCTTGTGAGCAGCAATCCTCTATCAAGGAAATCATGATAGGAAATACAAGCCCGGGAATATCGTATCAATTGGGAGATATATACTCCGTATACAGGCTCTGCTGGAATGTTGCTACATAGAAATGGAAAGTTCACAATTGGGAAGCTGAAATCATCTCTTTTGTCGTAAAGTTTTGTTTTCAACCGACCCTCATTGTCAATTTCTAGATGTAAGTCAAGATATGAGGCAGACTTAACTGTATCTTAAGTATCCTTTATCTCTAGTTCGATTGGATAGATTCGTTCAACATAGTCACCAAATTTTGTATTATTTAGTGAGAGAACATCATCTATATAGCGGAACGTAAAGTAAAACATACATGTGGCTATTAGCACAAAAACAAGAACAAAACAATAACAAACAAAAAACAACCAAAAACATATAACAATATACTATAAAAAAACATTAACAAAATATTATTTCCAAAACATGTGAAACAAGTGGGAAATATCAATAAATTAAAAAAATATTTTAATCAAACTAAAGTCTGTGAAAAGATTGTGTACTTACAATGAGTAGTTTTTGAGTAATTCAATTTTCAAATTTTATAACCGATTCGGTCTGTGTAATCAGCCAAAATATTGAGAAAATGGGTGAGAAAATTGTTGATTCCTAGGCTACTTCGTCATTAACCAATGAAATGAAAATATTTTTATTCCTCAACGAATTTTCATTTGATAATTTTTTTCTTTCTCGACGTTATCAAATAAATTGTAATCGCACATGTTCATGATACAATCAATTACACAAATACAATACAGAATAAAATCAATTATTAACCTAATTATTTTCAAATTAATACATTTTCGATATATTCGCAGTATATCCATACATTTACCTACACTATTGGCATACTGTGAGCCTCTTTTCGTAGCTTTTCGATTGCACAACATTTAACAATTACGAGTTAACATGTTCAAATCCAAAATACGTTTTAATGAAAAAAAAATGTAAAATTCCAGAAAACAAACATCTTCGGTTCTTCGCTCTCTGTTTTTGTTGTTGTGGTTGGGTTTTTTTTTGTAGTCTTTAGTTAGTGCAGTAAAATTGTTACCAGTAATGTAATATTTTTGCCTCCGTTTTTCAGTACACTATCCTTACTGTATTGTCGATAGTACTATTTTCCCCAAAATTAAACGTATCACACATAATACTTAAATGCAAAATTGCTTTATCACATATATTTAAGCGTTTGTTATTGCAAACAATGATCGATATTCATTCTTATTTTCTTTTTAATAAATACAACTCAACTTGCCTTGAATAACATTTAAATAAGAGAGAATATATTCCAACTTCTGACAAAAAAATCAGAAGTACCTATAATAGTTTTATTTTCATTTTACTATTTACATATTACAAAACATTGATAAAAACAATCACTTTACATCCCGATCCTGTGTTCAACCTGTAAACTCACGTCTTATTTAATCAACTTAATGCAAACAATTTATTGTAATAATTTTTTTTATACCTACACAATATATAAATAGGCATCGGGTCATAAATCTTATAATGGTCTCTCTCTTCAATTATGTTGACCTATAGCTACAATAGGAACTGCTTTCCCTTAGTTTTCTATGTAATGCTTTGTTAATGTTCTTATAAATAAGAAGATGTGGTATGAGTGCCAATGAGACAACTCTCCATCCAAGTCACAATGTATAAAAAGTTAACGAGTATAGGTTAAAGTACAGCTTTCAACACGGAGCCTTGGCTCACACTGAACAGCAAACTATAAAGGGCCCCAAAATGACTAGTGCAAAACAATTCAAACAGGAAAACCAACGGTCTAATCTATATAAAAAAACGAAAAACGAGAAACACCTTTGAACCACACCAACAAACGACAACCACAGAACAACAGGCTCCTGACAGATCTTGTCTTTTCTTCTTTAAATTTGGCCATGGTGTTGTTTGTTATTTTTGGATTTACCATTTTTGGTAATTTTTATTCAGTTATCTGACTTGCACAGTAAAATATCAGAGGACGTCATTAAGGATGAAATACATGTTTATGATTCATTAGCTTAATGGCTGGTTTTTCTTTTATTGTACAACAGTCCTTTTATTAAGTCAGTTTCACACACGCTTAGAGTAACAAAACTCAAATGATATCTGTTCCAAAGTAGTGTATCGTAAAACTCAGGTGGCTACTCCTTTTTTTCTTACTTGAGTTCGTACTTGTTTTCTTGATTTGAAAACCATTTACAAATACATGTATATAAAAAACAAAGATGATGATAAAAATTCCTAAGATTAATTTGAAACTGGTTTCGAGTCTCAATTGAAAAGAATCGAACTGTCCTTTATCTTGTAAGATCTTACACAACTTTTCAAAACTGAACCAAGTGCTATTTAAATGAAACCTGTTTCCAACCTATGATTATACAATCATCCAACACGTCTTTAGATCTGTTTTGATGAGGAGACTGATATTATTACTTTACAAGTTCTTAAGTAGCTATCATAAATTGGGTAATCATTCAAATGTCAAATTATAACTTTTCTAGACTCCACGTGTCTACTATCTGACATTGCTATTGGTTCCACCATGTTTCTTGTTTTGACTCTTACCACTGGGTGCGTCATTGGAATAGTGTGCCGGTCTTAAACATGTTTCCAAATCATTATGAAACCTATAAAAACGACGAAAAAAAACAACAGTCTATAAACATTACTTCGAACATAAAAGACCGATTGACACCAACCGAACCAAAATAGTGGTGATCTCAGGTGATCTATAAGTTTAACCTTCTGAAATCTATATAATACCGGTTTTAAATTTTACATTCGTTTATGCTTTGAACAGAAAACTACAAAGTAAAGTAATTCATGCGTATGTCACTGATTACTGATTAAATTCATTTTATTTTGATATCATATGATTAGCAGAAATGAAATAATGAGTAGGTAATAATTGTTTTTAATCAGTCATTTGATAAACAAAAGTTGGGTCTATTGTTATGACATAATACAATTTCTTTATGGCTAGGATGAATGAATTTATAATACAATAACTGGACAATAATTTGAATAATCATGAATGAAGTAACAGTACCGATAGCAGCAAGGTAAAACCATTCACTTTTGTGTTGTGTAAAATATGCCCACAGTATTAACATGATGATGTTTTCAGAAAATGTTGTAAAGTAATAACATAAGGCTCTGTAACGTGTTTGTCCCTCTTGCATATTTTGGAAACAAAATATCAACACATATCCGATTACAATGTTAAATATAACTTTATCTCTCGTAGTGTTATTCATCATTTCATGCTTTTGACAACCTATCCAAACTGACATGACTACCCAATGAAGACCTATAGCCACTAGCATTGGAAAACCAAACTGAGCTGCAAATAATGCTAGCACTATCGTTCTAGGTGCAACCTCACAAGCTCTCCAAATATAGTAGAAAATCGCACCACAGGAAGATATCCCCTGTTCCTTTATATCATGTGATGCTCTCAAGGCCTTATGATAGGACACCAATGACCAGGAGACTCCGATCCAAGACCCAAGCATTGCTGCTATACGAACAATATCTACAAACAAATATGAAATCATGAAATAACAGTAATCTCATATCATTTCATCTAGAACTGCAATACCTGTTCCGCTTATTTTACATTGACAATATGTTTTGTCGGTTATCAGAACAGTTTTTTCTGGCTATAAAATAATATTTTTTTCCCCTCCCAAAACATTTTAACTCTTATTTTAGCCCCTCAATAAAGGGCATATGCTTCCATTAAAGTTTACGTACGACAATAAGTAATATTTAGATTTACATTAAGTGTCTTGTCTAGCTCGTTACTTTAGCATACATGTATTTGTATTTTACTTGTTTTACATTTTTTTCTTTTTTTATCCAAATAATTGTGATACGCAGCAACGCAGAACCTATGCAAATATTTCCACATACAATCTTCATACAATCACAGAAATTAACGTCTTTGTCAATTTCCTACACAGAGAAAAATATGTCAATTCACGATATTTTGCAATAAAATAAATTTCAGTAAAATTAATAAATTGCTTTAAATTTTACTGAACTAAAAACATAAAAATAATATTTTCTTACGCATCAGTAGGTTATCATTATATGGTTCTGTCATAATTATGTATATTTGCAGAACTAGCTGTGGGGCAGATTCTAGGAAAGCTTCAAACATCCTTAACATGGCAGCGTCTGCATCTTCGTATAAAACATTTTTATAGAAATAACGTCTCCTACCGTCCGACAATGATGTTGATCTACTTTTACAGCCATAATAGATGTATTCAACATTTCTACAATGAAAATAAAACTCCCGAAATTTTATTTACTTTTTGAAAAGAACATTTCACAGTGCAATCAACACTTATGTTTGGAAGGTTACACAAAAAAAAAAAACACAAAATAAAACACAAAATAAAACTCCAAATAAATTTAAGAAATGATAGGAAAGATGTATAACACGACTGAAAAATAATAGAATGAACTCAAGAACGAGGTTTATAACAATTTGTGAGGGAATTCGAACCCCTGAAATATTTGTTGTTAACGTTCTTTAACGTGCAGAGAGCGTGGTGCTCTCCTTCCAAGAAAAAAAAACCCCGAAGAAACGTATACATTTTGAAAAGCTTACCTAACAATAGGACCAAGCATGAAGGGTAAGGAAAATACTACTCGTAAAAACCATTTCGACCCCTGTGTTGTCTTTCCCTTCTTCTTTTCTTCCATATAGTCCCAATAATACCAAGATATATTGATCGCATTCATGACAAGATGAGGAAAGAAGATGAATGATGCTGTAAATCCGAATGAAATCCATCTTTGTAGACGGTAATATTCCTCGGCAAGAATTACATCTGATATCACATCGTATAGGAAGAAGATCGTTGATAAAACAGTTGCAATTAAATCTATTCCACGGAACAAAAAGGGGTAGTCTTCAGCATTAAAGTAATCATTAGTTTTCCAGCAATTATTTCCACAGCAGCATGTCAACGCAACACTTGTTGCTTTATCGACTACTGACACACTTTCTTTAGTAGTTACATCGGTGTCTACATTTGTATCGTTATCTACAATGGAATACCTTCCATCAAGTTCATCATTATCGTGAGTTCTGTTAATGTCAAGAAATTCATCTCCAGCGTGTCTGGAAGGTGCCATCTTAAAATTATGATTCTCATTAACGTGGCAAGCATCAACTTCGTCATGACTACCTTCTGCATGGTATTCCTCTTCAGTCCGATTAGAGGTTACCGTTTTACCATCACGTATATGTTTAAGGTCTCTACCATCAACTTCGTCAAAGATCTCATCTTCATCATATTTCACTCGTCTGGTGTAAGGAAACTTTTTGTTTCTCATTTTTACATATGCCTTTGCCATTCCTATTATCTGTTCTACACCTATTCTTAACTTCTTTCTTTTTAGATAACCGTCTTATTTCCTACGGAGACAAAAATAACCATGCAATCCTAATTTTTAATATCATTCCAGTGTAGTCATTTCAAAAAATCTTTCCTAGAATTCAAAAGAGTGTTCGTCATATTAGAAGAAATTAACTGTTTACCACACCACAAATTGGTGTAATATCTATCTAGGTCATGTTTCGCTTACTAATACATGTACATTTAAATATCCTGTTGAAAAATATTGTAAATATTAATAAGGCGGGTGTATATAAAAACTTATTTGAATTGTATGTTTAGTTTTAGCGTTTAATCACGGAAGTTACGGAGACTACGTAGAACTGTTTAGGGGACTAAAAACTAATGTTTCCTCTTTAAGTCATCTGTAGAAGTCGTTGCAGCTTTAAAAAAAAAAATGTCTGTTAATTAATATTTTTTTCAGTAAGTGAAAAAGGTATAGGCAGTGATGTAAATATTCATTTCCTTTGGATTAGGGAGATATGAAGATTTGTTAACCCTCGAATAGTTATATTTCCGTCGGATGATGCCCTCGCGAAATATGAATTATCTTGTGCGAACAAATTTTATTTCTCCAGCACATAGACTCGGTTGGCGGATATATATAAATTTTAGTCCTTGTAATTTTATTTGTATTTCGTATTTTCTGTCAGTTTGTATTAAACTATTAACTTTGGCAACAAGATTTGCATGTTTAGTAGCAATATGTAGTTTACTACTCATATTCGAAGAAAGAAAAATCCTAGAATGAATTGAATTTCCCTCCCTTTTTAAAATAAAAAAAAGTATTAAAAATATTTCTATGGGACCATAAACTTTAGAAAGACACTGATTTCCTTCCTAAACGATTTTTCTGTCAGAAGTATAATTTGCATTTTAATTATTATAGATATTAACTGTGACTTGAAAGACGAAGGCTGGCATGAATTTAATTCTTCTTTAAAAACTTACAAAATGCATAGTATTTACTCATAATTGTGAGTAGGATATATCGAGCCCATACAAGAACCAAGCAGATATTTGCTAGATGGGACACAATTACTTTAATTAGTTATTTAGTTGGTTTTTTTATTGTTCTTTATATGCAGTGCTGAGAACTATCTCAGTTTTAAAACTAACAATCCGGTAAATGGAAATCCCAGATTAAAAGTTTAAATTTCAGGCAATTGTTAGACCAAATAAGAAATCTCTCTCAACCTGTCCTTTTTCTCATACTTTTTGGAGATACATAAAGCCAGAACTCCAATATATGTACAGGGAATTTATTACTGTTTTGCTATAAATCTATGTATAACAAACATATTAATACCCCGATTTCAATTTGGTTAAAACTAGTATACATACTTAAGAAAGAAAACTCATATCAAGGATATTTCATTTCTTCATCCTCTTACACACAGTAATACACCATTGGTCAATACCATTTGAGAAATCTTGAACTTAATTTCTTCAGGGAGTGACTTTGATGATTATTTGTGTCTAGTTTTGTTCCCCAGGAAACAATACTGATACATGATTTTTCTATAAAATTTCATTCCCTGTATTAAAATCTATACAATTTTTCAAAAAAGTCTTTAGTCTTGAATGAACAACTTTGCTTAGGTGTTGTATTCGGGCCTATTTCTCTCAGATCTTTGATGGATATATATAGGTTTTCCGATCCACGACAGCGTAACTCAGCTATCAGCTAAAATATTGAATTTCCCGACGAAAGCATTTCAACGTGACTGACAAACGTGTAATTTTTCTCAAAAGGTCTCATTTGTATCTGTGTCGAAAACTATGAAAGCAGGTATAGTCCTGTACCAAGTCAGGAAAATGGCCATTGTTATATTATAGTTCTTTTCTGTGTGTGTTACATTTTAATGTTGTGTTTTTGTTGTGTCGTTGTTCTCCTCTTATATTTGATGCGTTTCCCTCAGTTTTAGTTTGTAACCCGGATTTGTTTTTATCTCTATCGATTTATGAGTTTCGAACAGCGGTATACTACTGTTGCCTTTATAGTAACTGCCCGACTTCGTCCGTCCGTGTTGCTACTTTCTGTTTGTCGATAGTTCAAAATTTTACAACACTTATTGTTCACGAAATATTTTCATCAAACTTTTCTTCTTCTGTCAGGATGATTTACACCATAACGACAGGATAGATCTGAAATAATATTGACGCTATGAAGATCATAATTTAAGAAAAAAGCTGCGCATCGAAGTAGTGTAAGAATTATGTTGAGTAAACGATTTATTTATTAACAAATTCACAACGTGCAGGAACTTGGCCTTTTGTATTCAATTTATTTAAATGGAGTGAAAACATTAAGGTTGTTTTCCACAATCGTATGGTTGAAGGTTTAAACGACTATTGAGTCAGTGAGAGTATATGGTATCATTCCTTCACGTAAGGACAGAGCAGCTGTACTTGGAATGGTTAATGGAATTAAAATGCAAAGACAACTTGGTGCATTAGTATGTAATAAATTATGAAATAATTTTAACCTCCTCCTTTCTCGTCGCTTAACTAGCAATTTCACGATCAATAATTCGACTTCTAGTTTTAAAATATGAAAATATGTTACTACTCTGGGTAACTTATGATGCTGTTGTTCTAATTTGTTTCAATAACCCGCACCCATATTATTTCTGAGGGTTAAAGGACATCAACCATTTCTTAGCCAATCGCTCAGCTCACTTACATCGTGACGAATCACTAATTCTATTCGAAAAAAAAAAACGTGTCGCGATAAGATTGTAGCTGAGAGAAGTCTCATCTGCAAAGATTTTACTTTAAAAGTTAAGATTATTAAAAGAAATTTTAACTTTTGCAGGACTAAATCCCTCTTTAGGATCTTGAATGTTGAATATATCAACTACTTCATCTGTTTTGATGACTATATCATTTTAAAAATATTGGTTATTTATTCAATACAATGGACAGGAACGCCTTCAACCTCTAGGGAAGAAATCAGACTAAAACATTTATTCAAAAGTCGTCTCCGAACACTATATTTTATTGTGAATAATATTATCAAGTAAGGGTATATCAAAAGTACCTTTAAGTGATTTTATAAGTATTACTCGTTATCTTAAAAATGTTAAATTACAAAAATACCGAACTCCAAGGAGAGTCCTTTATCAAATGGCAAAATCAAAAGCTCAAACACATCAAACGAATGGAAAACAACAGTCATATTTCTGACTTGGTTCAGGCATTTCCCTATGTAGAAAATGGTGGATTAAACCTGGTTTTATAGATTGCTAAACCTCTCACTTGTATGACAGTCGCGTAGAATTCCATTATATTGACAACAATTGTGAGCAAAACAAACAAACATAATATGTCGCGGACATACGAAATAAACATATTCCTATTTATTATACTGGATATCCGAGTTATCAAAAAATGATAGGCATAAATACTATGAAATGTAAAAGTTTAAAAAAAAAATCACTGTATATTGATAGACTTGTAAAAAAATGTATTGTTTGTAAATATTGTATTCCTCTTGTTACAAGTATGTAATGTGTCTGAGTGATCAAATTAAGTTGTTAAAGTTGTTATATTTGGAATGACCTTCATCGGATACCCTCGAGACCAAAAGTTTACGCAGTCAAAACTATTATGCATTTTAAAAAATAACAAAATTAAAAAAGTCTATAAAACCGTTAAAGATCAACTGTGCCTTGGGGGTTGTTTCATCAATGCATAAACAGAAATACTGCACATTGACCTCAAATGTCTATTTTTGTCTGACTTATGTTGTGGGATTGGTCTATCATTACTGTTTGCAAAAACATTGGATAAGTCATATTAAATTATGAATTGTTTTTAATCGATTGAATTCAAATGCGACAAAAATACATAACCAATACATTCTGAAATCCTATTTATTCATATATTTAATCTGTTTTACTTAACATGAAAGAAGAATAAATGAATTGATTTAACTTTCAAGATATGCAATACTAAATGAACTACTAAGCTATAAATATTTCAGCAAGTCATTTTCCGTATATACTGGCTAGTTTTTATGAGAAATATCTTCGCACGATCCTCTTTTAGAGCAATAAGCGTGTGACTACTATAGTCTTGAATTGGTAAAGGCACTTTTGAACGGAAGTGGTGGATTAAACCAGATTTAACAACATGCCATACCCCTCAGTTGCATGACAGTTATTTTTGTAAAATTGTGTAATTGAGGTATATATGGCTATGGATTCGAATAGCCAGACGTTGCAGTTTATTTACATAAACGGACGGATGCACCTTATCAAAGGTAGCTGCAAGGGGGTTATGTGTCTAGAGAGCCCAACATATTATCATACATGAATTAACTTTAAGATCTACAATCAGTTCGGTATTAGCAGTTTATTAATCCCTCCATTCCAAAGCAGCGTGAAGTTAGTTTATCTGTGATGTCAAAAAAAGGTTTGACGGAAACTGGCCAAATTTCGGATGGTGACAAAAGCATATTGAAAATGTATGTATGGCGGGAAAAAAAAAACGTACTCACAACATGCTATAGTTTAATGAAAATGAGTTGAGAAGCTGGTTAGAAAAAAATAGCCTTACAGAAGATTTCATTGATATGGCTGAAGAACGTGGGGTGTCATGGAAAGATTTATATTGTCATGATTTCAGATTACTCTTTCAGAATATTATCGATATTTTTATAACTGGTCTGTGATACATTATAAGCAAAAGTACTATTGGTACCGTTTACATTATTGCTAGAACTACAAATACAATTACAAGTTTGATAGTTACTGTTATACCAATATCATAAACTGAAATGTAATGCTGGTATAATAAATCATCGTAGGTTTCCTTTAAAGAACCTACTTAGTATTTTGCAAAAGTTGAATGATAAATATATAAAATTATTTGTCATCAAGATCTTCTTTTGCTTTAACACAATACAATGTTTTTATGTTTAGGATGGAAAACTTTATAATACAATAACTGAACAATAATCTGAATGACCATGAATGAAGCTACAGTACCGATAGCAGCAAGGTATAACCATTCACTTTTGTGTTGTGTAAAATATCCCCATAGTATCAACATGACGATATTTTCAGAAAATATCATATAGTAATAAAACAAGGCTCTGAATCTTGTACGACCGTCCTGTACGTTTTGAAAACAAAATATCATCAAATATCCCATGACAAAATCAAAAAATATTTTATCGCAATAAGTTTTTATAAATTTCTGTTTATGACGTCCTATCCAAAATGTCATTGCCATCCAGTGTATGCCTATTACAATAAACATGATATAACCAAACTGAGCTGTAAATAAGGCTATAACCATAATTCTAGCTCCAATTTCGCAAGCTCTCCAGATGAAATAGAAAATCATTCCATAGATTGATAATACTTGTTCTCTTTCATTATGTGAGGCTCTGAGGGCCTTATTATAGGACACCAAAGACTTAGAGACTCCAATCCAACATCCAAACATTACTGCAGGTCGGATAATTTCTAAAAAATATATATCAATATACACAATTATTAAAAGTGCAAAAAGCAGTTATATATTTATCAGATATTGCATTCCCCAAATCAAAGGATGCATATCAAATACATGTATGAAGAGATAAAGTTCATATATTTTAATATGCCTAAAGACGAGTTTGTTTTATTGCTAGAAACACATATAAAAAAAACAAACCGTAAAGACTCGTAAGATCAGCACGAAGCACAAACACAACTACTTAAAAGCGAAAAAAAACTAAAAGTTTCGATCTAAGAGTACTCGCAGTTAATGAAGCATGTTTACAGCCAATTACAACTAATAAATAAATCAATATCTCCCAGATTAAAATATCAATTAGTACACATTTAACGAATATAGCATCAAGGCATGACCTTGTGTACTGCCTAAATATAAGTATAGACAGAATGTAATACCACAGCTGTTCGTAACTGTATATTACTACATATTTAGTTATGTTTATTTCATTAAAAACAAAATCAATATTATTATCGATAAAGACAATATTCAAAGAACTCAATACAGTATTCAATTGATAAATTTTAAGAATGATTTTTTTTTTTGAAAGGCCCAATACTTTTGATGTATCGTATCTAAATTTAGGGACTCTATAAGTAATAATCCCTTAGAAATTAAGATGTGAGATCCCGTTTTTAATAAGATTTTAGTAGAGAAGGTACATTAAAACTTTTAAACCTTTGTATCTTCACTGACACATCTTGTCAATATCAGATGTTCTGTTATCCACACCTGATCCCGATAACCTTGTGAACCGATTCCTGGATGAAATTTTGTCTATCAATTTCTATGCTGTTATTAGAAGAAGTTAAGTTTTAAGGGTTGTATAATAATAAGCAATAACTTTCTTCACATGATCTTATTTTACCTTCTGTTGAAATTGAAATTTAAATAAAGAAATATTCTTCCTCATTAGTGTTCCATCATTTCTCTTTTCTGTCATATACTATATATATATCTGTAGTAGTAGCTGTGGAGCAGATTCTATGAAAGCGTTAAGCATTGTCAGCATTGCAGCATCAGTAGCTTTGTATAACATCTGGTCGTAGAAAAATCTCTTTTGACCCTGAGAATCTGCTTTTAAATCCATAATAGATATATTCCACGTTCCTGTAATGAAAACAGTGTGAATGCTTCATTGACTATCTATCTAAATTAGGCCTGAAATAATATGGAATAAGTGTATGGATCAAAGTATCATTAACTACTTATTAAACTTGTTTATTTTTGATGTCGCGTTTTAACTTCAACAAATAAGGCGTTTCATTCGCCAAGAAAATGTACAATGACCAATTACTCACACTTCAGTCTCATTATCAATTTGACAACTTGCCTGCCGGATCTTTGATTTGCAAACCTTAAAAAAGTTTCAATTTTGATATATATTCATTCTTAACGTAGAAATTCTCCAAAAATGTATTTGACATGGAACCTTACATGAGAAAGGAACAAAATAGAGCTCAATATAGTCATATATAACGAGGAAAAGATCTATATTGATTCTGAAGTCAATGTAATAGTAAATAAAAGTAAACTGAAATACGTTAATAAAATGGATTTCCAAACGTCAACTCAAGGCTTATATTGGATTATAACCTGACTGGGATAAGATGGGGAATATCTCTTATGGTTTTAAGCTCAATGTTTTCAAGATCAATATCATACTTAGTACTAGTAATCGAGAGAAAAATAATAACAAAAATACCGAACTCCAATGGAAATTTAAAACGGAAAGTCTTTTATAAAATGGCAAAATCAAAAGCTCAAACACATCTAACGAATGGAAAACAACTGTCATAATCCTGACTTGGTACAGACATTTTCTTATGTAGAAAATGGTGGATTAAATCTGGTAGCTAGCAAAACCTCTCACTTGTATGACAGTCGCATAGAATTCCATTATATTGACAACAATGTATGAACAAAACAAACAGACATAATAGGAAAAGATGTCAAAAATAGGGGTACAGCAGTCAACATTGTGTTGTAATCTTAATCACTATAAAATCAAACAAATACGTCAACAAAGAAAAACAAAACGGCACATAAGCAAAAATAAAAGACAAGAATACAAAAAATGACCATAGCACAATAACACAATGGCGAGATGTATAAGTACCGAGCCACGCCAACAGGATAACGTTAAAAAAGAGGGACGAAAGATACCAGAGGGACAGTCAAACTCATAGATCGAAAACAAACTGACAACGCCATGGCCAAAAATAAAAAGACAAACAGACAAATAATAGTACAGATGACACAACATAGAAAATTAAAGACTAAGCAACACGAACCCCACCAAAAACTGGGGGTGATCTCAGGTGCTCCGGAAGGGTAAGCAGATCCTGCTCCACATGTGGGAACCGGTCGTGTTGCTTATGTTATTACAAATCCGGTAAATAGTCTAATTCGGTAAGTCACATTCGTGAAAAGGGAAGGGTATTGTAGTTACGACATAAGGAACATATCCGATATCATCTGTGAAACGGTTATTCCATAACGGTCAACCAACTCGTGATGGCGTCCGTAAAATTTACGAAGGGATGATTTCAACTTCACCATTTGGAACTCTTGGTTTAATAGCTTCCTTGTGAGCAGCATTCCTCTATCAAGGAAATCATGATAGGAAACACAAGCCCGGGAATATCGTATCAATTGGGAGATATATACTCCGTATGCAGGCGCTGCTGGAATGTTGCTACATAGAAATGGAAAGTTCATAATTGGGAAGCTGAAATCTTCTCTTTTGTCGTAAAGTTTTGTTTTCAACCGACCCTCATTGTCAATTTCTAGATGTAAGTCAAGATATGAGGCAGACTTAACTGTATCTGTAGTATCCTTTTTATCTCTAGTTCGATGGGATAGATTCGTTCAACATAGTCACCAAATTTTGTATTATTTAGTGAGAGAACATCATCTATATAGCGGAACGTAGAGTTAAAGGACATTGCTAACTTCTTATCTTTCTTCCTAAGAAGTTCCTGTATGAAGTCAGCCTCATAATAATAAAGAAACAAGTCGGCAAGAAGAGGGGCACAATTGGTTCCCATTGGAATTCCGACAGTCTATTGAAAAACACGTCCTCCAAACGTAACAAATATGTTGTCAATCAAGAAATCAAGCATGTTGATAATGTCAGTTTCAGAGAATTTTTTGTGTGAATCAGAGTGATTCTTTACAAAGTAGGATTTATCCCTCCCCAAGACAAGATACTTGTATCTACGTTCGCCAAATTACGTTAAATTACGTTGTATGGTGTTTTGGCGTTATCTCTGAAGTTTGTGAACAACAGGCACATTTCCATGGCAGAAAGACACCCACTGAAATACATGTAGAAAAGATGTTTTTTACATTCATCATATAATGCCATTACGAAAAACACCTATTTTCATGTCTATCTAGTTAGACATATGTATAATTCAAATGGGTAAAAGTTGTAGATTTTTTTAATGACTTTTAGATTAAAAGAAAGGGAATAGTATAAATATAATATGCATTATGTGGAGACTTAACGGACGAACATCCAAAATATCAGAAAGTTTTTTGAACCATTATCGTTCCCACGTTCGGTTGATATAAAAAAAAAGGCACCAACCTATCTTTTCTTTCGTTTTTTTAACGGACAGTGCTTTTGTCTGGGGACAAATAATTTGTTCAAAAGGCAAACTGTTTTTTTTTCAATGACATACAGAATTTGTTCTTAGAAAATCAATGATGTTTTTATTTTTATTTATTGTTCTGTTTCCAGTAGAAACAAACTTTTTTTTACTTCTGTTCTGAATTTTTTCTTCAAATGAAATTTAGAATCAAACAATTTTTTGAAATGCCGCCTCTTTCCTCTCAAAAAAATTGATGTTTGGTAACAATTGTAATTTAATGTATTTAACACTTTTGTCTTGTCAACGACGGTGGATTGCCCTGAGTGAATTATAGCGTTTGAAACAGCGTTTTCGTCAAAATTAGTTTACACAAACATGTGCAGTTGAACATAATGAAAAAGGAAGGATACGGTGTAACAAATATCTCTGTTTATTCGTTTCTCATTATGATGAACATTTGGAAAATGGAAACAGCAGTACTTCATCAACATTGAATATCTTTAAACTCAAAGACAAAACAAACAACAAACATCTGGCAATATTTTTTTAATTCCAGTTTCAGATGTATAACTGATCTCAATAACCCATACTTGAATGAGTGCTTGCATCTCACATTTACCAGTGAACAGTGAGCAGTTGTACATTTGTCATTTCGGGGCCTTTTTTGGCTTGCTATGCGTTATGGGCTTTGCTCATTGTCGAAGGCTGTGCCGTGATATATAGCAACCATACCACATCTTCTTATTTTTATATCAACATTAAGGATATTATCAAAAGTAGATGGTCTGTTTCAATTCTTGATCTTTTCTTCGACATGGACAAGGATGGACGAATCAACTAAAATCTAAGACAAACGTGATGATTTCAACTTCCCGATTGTTGATTTCCCATTTCTCAGAAATAATATACTCTCTGTCATTTCGTATGAAATATGAACGTTACATATCTCAATCAATACGTTCCATCGTGCATGTTTAAACTTTACAAACTTCGTTGGCAGGAGTGTTCTCCTTACACAAACACTGCTCCAACAGAAAGAAAAATTAGTTT